CTGCTTGCGCCCGTCGCTCCGCCTCGATTCTACGTCGCTGCTCCTCCCCAAGCTCCTTCTTCAGATCGGCGCGCAGGACTCCCTCTCGCGCCAACAACTGTCGCTCCTCATCTGCGGCCTGATCCGCCGATTTGCGGACTCGAGCTTCTCTACGCTTCGCCATCTGAGCTTTTTTGAGTTTCTCGAGGGTAGCAGCGGCCGTACGCTTCAGGATAGGGTAGTCGGCCTTCTCGGCAGCCTTGCGTGCGCGCCCAGCCGTCGCTGCGTCCGCAAACGTGCATCCTTCTCTCTCGAGAAGAGAGGTCGTTAAGTATTTGAAGGTTTGTTTTTTGGACTTGACGCGACCCTTGTATTTTCCACCGCCCTTAGCCATAGGAGGTGATCTGGTAATCAATGCCACTCGTCGGCTTCTAGGTCAATCGGGGATCGTTTTTTTTAGCTGTGTGCGCAGAAACCAGAGCTAGAGAAGTAGCGAAGGCGATTTTTGACCCTCGTCTCGGTATTCGCGCCAGCTGCGTCAACAGCCGAAATTTCCGTCGTTTCGGGATTCTTCAACCACTATACGGAAATCGGCTTCGCCACTTCGCTAGCTATAGCATGATTACAGGTGATTGTAGATTGAGAAGAGCCATCTCCTTACCGTCTTCGCGAATTTTTGACTGCCAGTTCCTTGTCTTTGCTCAAGTAAGTAGGACTGCTGTCTGTGTGCCCCCTTCAAACAAAAAAAAAAACAAAAGCTATTCGCAGCATGCCGTTTTTTGTTGCTCCGCAGGGGGGTAACCCCAGGGTCTAACTGTAGTGACCGGTGGTGCACATACCGCTGCCCGCCGTCGAACAATGTTTGCTGTCTACTGTACGTGGACAGCATGAGTGCTTTCCCTGGGAACCGGGCGCTCGTGTATGGGTCGCGCGTCCGTTCCATATGCATACCTCAAACAATCCCTCCTCGTGTACGTTACTCCGATGCCCCCACCTACCGTCTACCATGTCCCATCTACCATCCTTCCAACCGAACAGCAACCTATGGTTCCAAATTTACTAATGTGCTCTCAGGGGCGGTTCCTCAAGCTCGCGGTAGCCTGGACGGCCGCACGCGGGCAGCGCTTGAGCGGCGACCCCGGACTGTGCGGTCTCCTGGGGCGTTGCCTTTAGAATGAAGGGGAGTTGGATCCCGGCACAAGATATCTCGTGCTGGAGGAGCTTCCGCAAGAGCTCTGCGACCTGATTCTGCAGGACGTGACTGATGCGAACGCTAGATGTGTGTCACCTAGAAGCTGCTCGTCGGTGCTGGTTGAGTGGTGGTGTACGCGTTGATGTAATTGGTGTCGTGTGTCGTGGTTGTTATTCCATTTGATGATGCTGGTCGCAAGAATTGTGCGAGCTCGCCTTCCATGATACCTGCGGCAATGCGAGGCAAAGTGGTGTTTTCGTTTTTTTCTGTTGTTCACGTGTCGGATCTTTTTGAGTAGCGGGCCGTCAAGACTTTCTGAGCGAGAAAATTTCTCCCATTGCTGTATCTGATGGCACTTGCTTTGCGCAGAGAGTTGGCAGTCGCTAGAGGTGTTCTGCAGTTCACGAGCAAGACGAGCCTGAGGGACGCGAACGCACTATTGGCGGCGTACACTGTACAAGGTGAGATCAGAAGTTGCGGCAGTAACAACAGCATGGGCTGGGGTGGGCCTTCGTGTCCACGCTTGAGAGAAAGAGCGGCCTTGGTGAGAACTCGGATGGCCGTTGTACATGAGAAGGGGCGGGCACACAAGTGGGGGAGTGTTTGTCCTCCCTCGTTTCTCGTGTTCCCGTTGGCGGTTTTAGCCTTCGGCTTGTGGTTGTGCGGTACATGGCATAGTCCGTATTCTTTGTTTGGAGCATGGTTCCGCTTTCTCAAGGGATCGCTTCGAGTGGAGTGGCAGGGCTGACCACCATGTTGCGTGCAATCCCCATTTGAAACCGACCCTTACTCCCAAGCAGTGACAGCAAAGGGTAATGCGAACATGTGCGGATGACACTGACTGGGCCCGTGTGCACGTCTTTGGTCGCAAAAGGGAAGGGAGGGCCCCCAGAAAGTATCGATTTTAGCAGAAGTGTGGACGGGAAATTAAAGATTGCAGTGAGCCATCCGCCCGGGGCGGGGCTGTACTGTACCACATCAAACCAACACGATTGCTCATGCCTTAGGTGGTACTCGTGAACGTCCTAAATATTATTGGTTCATACCAGAAACGGGTGCCGGGTGTCTATGCCTCGACCAGGGCGTGTTTCCCTCTGGGGAGGTTTTCCCTTTTCTGATCAAGTGTGTTGCTCTGCGCCGGCATCTCCCTGTCTTGTTTGATCGGTTACTTTCTGCGTCGCCCAAGGTTCGGACTTGCCAAAAGAACCAACATAAAATCCCCAATGAACAGGAAGTCCATTGAGAAAATTTTTCAAGACGGCACGCTTAGGCCTAGAAGATGCCAGCCACAGCGAGGGCACGTGAGAGGGCCGCCTGCAGGCAGACGGAGATGAGGGAGAGCATGCAGAAGATGGCCGAGGAGAGGAAGGCCCGTTGCTGCTGTAGGAGTTCGGCAAGTCAGGGGGTGAGAGCGAGGCACAGACGTATCGTTGTTGTCGTCGTTGTTGCTGTGGTAGTGGCCGTTGCTCGTGGTAGAGGGCATAGGTGTTGGTAGTGTGCTGGTGGGATGTTTGGAGCCCATTTCTCAAAGGGCAACAACTACATAATCACCTAGAGTTTGGGATATCCACATACTTCTCTGGTGCCCAAATTGAGGTACACCGTCCCCTGCTTGCTTCCAATTGCTTGTTGTGAAATGCGGCTACTGCACGCAGCGTGGAGCTTGCTCACGAGTGATGAATTGTCAACTATGGCTCTCTCCTCCTCCTCCTCCTCCTCCTCCTCCTCCTCCTCCTCGTCACCGCCTTTCGCCTGTTATCGGCGTCGATTGTAGCTGGAGGTTAATCGCTTTGTCATCGGTGGCTGTGTCGCGCTTCTCTTGTTGTTTTGATGCATGCACACTGCTGTCGGTCTGTCAGCGCTGACAAGATTCGCGCCGAGATCAACAACCAACGCCCGGAGCTCGTGGTCGCGGGAATCACGCTCGCCGTGGCCCTGCTTTCGGCACTCGGTGAGCAAGCTATCTCAGGCACCTACGAGTACCTACCTGCAGTTTGCTGTGGTTTTAGAGACGGCATCCTTGCTGAGGGGGGCAGGCTGTCTTGGGTTTCAGTGTGGTGTCATTTACGAGATCGTGATGAAGGACGATGCGCTTGCTTGCGGTGACTCCGCCTTCCACGCGGGATGGGTAAACAAGGCGTCAGGTGTAGCTCGCCACTGCTGTTGCATTAATTGGGGTGTTTGTCATTTTTTGCGGCGCTTCTCGAACGGTAGAAAACTTGTAACTTTGCTCCTTCGCGCCGGCGTCGGGTGCGCTACTTGTCACCACTGCTGCTACGTGGGCCAGAAAACGGCACGTGTGAAGGACCTACCTCTCGTTGACCGTATGCAGACAACAGCCTCGCCTGCTTCGTTTGATTCTTTGGAAAGAGTGAGAGTTTCTGGATTGTTCCTCGTGAGCGTGCTTGTGTGGGTGGCTGCCTCTGCCACACAGCAGTAAACGACAAATACAACGGAAGTTGTTCTTTCCCTTATTTCGTAATTTTTTTTCCAGCCGGACGGCGGGCGTTCTTCGGGAACGGCGCGAGACTCTTGGTGCTGTCGTCCGCCGTGGTCTACGGGGGGGCATGGGTGAAGTGGCGAGGCGCTGCGAGCGCAGCGATGCGTCGGTCGAATAATTCACACAGAGCACGGAAATGTCTACTGCGAGTCGGAGGGGGGGAGGAGTTGGGGCCTGGGCAGAGAGAGGTGTCGGGGGCTATGACCTTCGCTCTCGCGCCAAGAGGTCGTGCATTGGCGGGAGAGGTGGGGGCAGAGATGGAGAGGGGAGGGGAAGGGGGGGGAAGATGAGATGTGTTCCCCGCGTAGCGGTTCTTCAAGTCGGTGAGAGTGAAGAAACCGGTATCTGCTTGTGCAAGTCATAGGCTGACCTGCCTACCAGCTCAAATGATGAGGATGGTGTTCTTGCTCCGAAGCTGAATAGTTGACTGAAGGCTACAAGGTTCGCCTTGGGAGTCTGGCTATGCTGTTGTCAGGGCGATTTCATTTTGTAGAAGTAGCAGCTCGCAGTCGGGCGTTTTGTACCCACGCCGGGAATTTTGGACCCCAAAAGGGGCTGTTTAACTTTGTTGCACGTTGTGAGATTTATTTGCGCTTTACTTATTTATTATTTTGCAACAGTGTGTGCCCGAGAGAAGAGCTTGCGCCGCCAGTACTGATCAAATCACTTGTCCTTCCGCTGTCGTTGCGATAGAAAGTCTATTGTGGCATTGTGGTACACCTGAGCTGCTGATGTTGTTGTTCATGTGTCCGTCGCTTGTTTGGCCTCGGGGGGGGGGGGGG